GTCTTTGGCCCTTGGTAAATGCTTAGGGGCAAGCAGTCTCTTGGTATACCATTCCATCCCAGTTCTGGCTTTGATAAATGCGGAAAGAGTCACAAAAATTCTCAATAAAAAGAAAAGTAACTGAAACTCACTTTCAGGAAGGCATACCAAGGCCACACGGCAGTGTTGAGCAATCAATCCAACCAACCTGGGTAGGATGTCAGGGATGGGAAGGGGAGGCCCTTGGGTACCACTCAACAATGTGCTTGTAATAAGGTTCTGGCCCCTACCACCGACACCCACCCCTGTACCTCACTGTGGGATCGAAACACCTGAAAACTTAGGAGCTGAGACTCAAGACAGCAGCTTCTGGTCTGGGCACCTGCCCAAGGCAGCAGGAAGAGAGAGCAGACAATGAACTTTTTTTTCCCCCTAACTGAATAAGACCTCATGCCTCTTCACTGAATGAACCTAAAAATGTGGACACACAAGTGGTATGTGACGTAGGTAAGCCCACGTAATGAGACTTGGAAGGAGAAATCAACATGTGATGCCTTCTCCTCCTTTCCCTGGCCCTACCCCACAGGCAACAGGCTGATGTCACACTAAATGATCTCTTCAGTAAGAGTGGTACTGAAATGTACACACCTTGGGAGCAAATCAATTCTTCATGACCGTAAGATTGTTAAGAAATTCAATACATGCACATTCATAACTAAGAATGGTTTAAAAATAAACAATCAATTTCAAACTCATTTCAAGGTAATAATAAACTCTCAATGACCCCTGAGGGGATGGCTCTCTAGGGGGAGCTCAGGATACCTCTTCGTTGCCCAGTGAGATTCCAGGCTACCCGTAACGGGACAGACTGGGCTAGACCAAAACCAGTGAATATGCTGTAGGCCTGACTACCTTCCAAAACAGATATGCATAATTTTAAAACCATGTTGAACTATCTGCACTTCTGTCCTCCAAGACCCTTACTAAAAAGGCAAGATTAAATGTCAACATGAACAAGTCTGAAGTTGAACACCAAAACATTTTATTTATAAACACCTACAAGTAAAACTCTGGGACCTCTTCTCCATCACGTGCTGGAATGTTCAACGTGACCGTTAATTAGGTTGGGAGCCTTCAAATGAAGTTTTCTCAAGCAGGCTGTGTGGATTTCTGCCTGTAGCCATAGTGAGTAACATTTCACCACATGAAAGAAGATACTGAGTCTACAACCTCCGACCCTCCACACCCAACTTGCTCATGACAGCTATCTCCGGTGTCTTCTGGGTCTTCCCTAAAGAAATACCCACTGGGGGATCAAAACAACCCAAAGCATATAAAGGAGATGGGCCCATCTGTGCATTCTTCCCAGGGTGCAGCATGGAGACATTTTGGAGCTGTCAAGGCATGGAAACAGGCCAAGCAAACATCAATGCCACGGGCAAGCTAGCAGCTAATGGACCAGAGAGCGCCTCCAACAGGCCCCGACCACATCCATCTAAAGCTGCAAGAGCCCTCCCAGCTCTTCCTGCTCCTGACCCGCTAAAGCATGAAGTACAAAACGGATCTTCCATCCTGGGTACAAGCCTCACATGATCAAACGTCAAGGCCTATCCTACAAACCGAGACAATCAGATGCCTGGTCCGTGGAATAAGTACCCTGATTTCAGGTCTATGACATGTGCAGCTGAAAGGGGGCAGGGTGGGAATGGACGCATCCTCACTACCCACTTCACCAAATCATCTTTAGGAAAATGTGGAGGCCTTTATTTAGGCTATTTATCTTGTTTTGTGCAAGATCTACTTGCACTTAGAAGTTGCTGTCATTTTTTCCCTTTAATATTTTACAGTTGAGTATCCTCCCCCCAGCCCCATCCCCGCTTACTATCTAAGAATTAACCATGTGTGGAGAGACAGATCTTTTCTAAAAGCCTGTGATGCGTTTTTGTGATTGATTAGACATGATAACAATTACCAGGATCAACAGGCTCTAAGTTATCAACAGTAAATTCTGATACCTCTCCCAACATCCACCCTCGCCTCAACCTTCGCACTGCTCTGTTCCAAGCCAACCAAGGGCTACTGGTACTACAGAGTTCAGTTACTCTATTTATGTATCAGGAGAATAAACAGCTGTGCTGTGTGTTTGCCTTCTTCAGACAGAGGTATCAGTCCACAGTCACTAGATGATCAGAACCCTGCAGAAAGAACTATTATTAAAATATCCATGTTGTATTTAGCTATTAAAAAACTGACTACCCTCCCCAGTGTCTATCGCCCAGTCCCCCCATCCCTCCACCCCACCCCCCACTCCAACAACACTCAGTTTGTTTCCTGATAAGCGCTGTGAATTGTGCAAGACTGTTGAATCTCAGATCTGTACCTCTGAAACAAATAATGCAATATATGTTAAGAAAAAAAAAAAAGAAGAAGAAGAAGGTAGCGGGAGGGGAAGAATGAAGCGGGGGAAATCGGAGGGGTAGACGAACCATGAGAAATGATGGACTCTGAAGGGCAGGCAGGGTTCTAGAGGGGAGGGGGGTGGGAGGACGGGTTAGCCTGGTGGTGGGTATTGAGGAGGGCACGTTCTGCATGGAGCACTGGGTGTTATGCACAAACAATGAATCATGGAACACTTCATTTAAAACTAATGTTGTAATGTATGGGGATTAACATAAGAATAAAAAAATAAATAAATAACCCAAAAAAAAAAAAAATTGACTACCTACAATCTGCTCTAAAGAAATGCCGCTGGAGACCTGAAACCTACACAGACACAGCCACACACAGACACACAGACATACACACACACCCCCCAAAAGAGAGAGAAGACAAACTGTACACATACACAGCATAGAGATTCTTCCTGCAGAAAAGTGCTGATCCAGACCTGCCCAGAGGAAATGAGTTCTTTTTAAACACAAAAAATGCAATCAGGGATAATCAGCAAGTTAACAACACACTTGCAAACACCCTAGTCCCTAGAAAGGAAGAATGCCAGCTTTCAATGCAAGTTCTGAGAACAGAGCAGATCCTTTGGGCAAATGAGGAAACAAGTGATCATGTCAGCGTCTTCGGGCAGAACTTTCTCCAAAGCCAAGAAGCTTTGGAACAGCAGTGAGCTCCAGAAGGCACCTGCTTCTAAGAAGTGCTTCAATAACCACATTCCCAAAGTGGCTTTGTAGGTTGGGGTTGCCTCGGCTCCTCTTCCCCGTCCGCTTTCCCAGTGGGCTCCGTGGGGGAAAAAAGAAGCCAAAAAAAGGTGGTACGCATGTCTTGCATCTCCCTCTCCTGCAGCCCACCCACAGGAAGGGAGACGCAACGCCCAGTGCATTCCAACCCAGGTAAGCAGCCGCAGAGACCTGGGGAGGGCTTCCACAGTAGCCCCTACATGACCTACGAAGGGGCCTCCAACAAGACCCCTCAAGCTGTCCTAGTCTCCAGCATGTACCACCTGTGAAATAAACTCGGCTTTGATTTAAAAAAATTTTTTTAATAATTGTGGCTAAAGTTCATATCAGTTACAACCTGCTCTAGGCTGGGTGGGCTGTTGTGGGACGGTTTCAGGAACCCCTGCAGATGTTATTTTTAATTACAAACCACAAGGCAGGGGCCTCACCAAAGGGAAGAAATCCTGGGAGTCAGTGCTGAGACACACATCTAGCCCCACTTACCTGACCTCCCTTGTCCTATTGCTTCTCAATCTTGGCTTCACAATAGAATCACCTGGGGAGTTTAAAAATGTACAGATGCTTGGATCCCATCCCCCCAAAAATTCTGATTGAACTGGTCCATAGGGTGGGCTGAGAGTTTTTAAACTCCCTTAAGTGATCCTAATATGTGCTGCCAAGGTTGAGAACCACTGTTCTGCCCTACACCATCCCACCACTTCCATGGAGAGACCAGCATGGGACAGCAACACATCTCTAGAAGAATCCTGGGCTTGACTCCGAAAGAATAGGAGAAAATCGAATTTCTTTACCTCTTCCTCATCCCAGCCTTCCAGCACACATACCCCTGTGGTCACTTCTCACGTTCTTCGTCACTTCAACTCTCCCTCCTGCTCAAAGCTAGGCCTTCCGTGAGTCCCAGAGTCCAGGAATCCGGATTTTAAGTATTTGTCAAAGTAGAGTCTAGACCACTTCCTCTCTCATGTAATCCCAAATAGTCAGAATTCGGTGAATGAGGTAAGGGCAGTCTAAGTCTTTGGGCATGAGTCCCCCCTTCCCTCTCCCTGGGAAGCTGTAGTTGAATTTGGGGGTGCCTCTCCAAGGCTATGCTGAGTATTGCCAGCCCCCTCAGGCACTTGGCTGGACAAGGGTCCTGTCAGTCTCCGTGTTTTCCTGTACCATTCTCACTACACGGAGAGGTGAAGGGAGGGCAGGAAAAAAGAACCTCATATGAAAAATCCTGCTGCTGGAACAAGGTGCTGAGTAGGTCCATCCCCAGTTGCCTCATCCACCCTCCAGACACTTCCCCCAAAGACTGTGGGAGGAGGAGCCAGCGGAAGGGCTGGGATGACAGTGGGCCAAGCATGACCTGCACTCCATCCACCCTCATTCTCCTTTGCACAGGCATTCTTCATCCTGGGGGTTAAGGAGGAATTGATGGGGAGTTTCCCATCCATCCCAAGGGTCCAACTCTCAAGGGATCAGGAGGGACAGAGGTAGCCACATTGCCCATTTCTATTGGATTTCTTGCTCTGCGCTGACCCTGCTAAGTTGCGCTCCAATGGAAGGTGCTGAGCTGGGGCCCACGTCCTGCAGTCTACTCCAGCTAGCCCTTTGAGTAAGGAGCCCAGGACTGAGTAGCCAGGATCCTCTTCTTGCTGAGATCTATTGGGTTTCCCATTGAGAGCAATCAAAGGATTTCCACCCCCTCCTCAGGGAAAGGGACCAGATTATCTAACACATAACTAAAGATGGCCTTCCACCGCAGTGTTGGTTTCCGTCCAGGGTCTTGGTCCTCACCCCACCCCAGTGGGTGGGTCTCTAGTAAGAGAGGGCTCGGGGAGAAGGTCTTACCTTCTGAACAGAGCTTGCCTCCATAGCCAGTGGTGGAACAGTCACAGGTGGGGTGGCCATCCAGGAGAAAGCAGATCCCCCCATTTTCACAGGGACGCTCACCGCAGGGTCCCTCGGCGTCCAACTGGACACCCTGGCTCCCCAGAAGCCGAGGCTCTGAGTTGCCATACTTGAGATCCAGGATTAATCCTCTGAAACCGGGCATGGCCTGTACTCCATCAAGGGTCAGGGCAGAAGGTCGTATGTCTGCGGGGACTCCGCCAAGGAACAAGTCACTGACCACATCCATGTAGGGCCGCTGAGGCTGCAGCTCCGCCGCCTGGCCCTCGCCGTCGAGCATCAGCACCGTGCGCAGGCGGTCGCGGCTCACCATGAGGAAGTGCCAGCCGCTGTCATTCACCTGCTTGCTGGACAGCACCGCGGTCTCCGCACAGTCCATGCTGAAGCGGAGCTGCACGCGGCCATCCACCAGGGAAAGGCAGAGGAAGTCACAGACGCCACCGTCATCCAGATAAAGGAGCAGCCCCGTGGACACATTGGTCTTGAACTGGAAGCTCAGGTCGCTGCGGGTGCTGGCATCCCAGCGGAGGTAGCGGGCCCACTGGTTGGGGAGGCCCATGAACTCGAGGCCCAGGCAGAGCCCCAGCAGCGACCCCAGCAGGACGCTCACCTTCAGGGTGAAGAAAATCGAGTTTGCAGCGAAGCCCATTGTGGCTGTCAGGACCGAGCCTGGAGGAGCCGACGACGACGGGCGGGGGACGCCCTCAGGGGAAAATCCCCCTTGGCAGCGGAAGGAAGAGAAGAAGAGGAGATGGGCCTGGGGGAGGGACAGAGAGCACACAAGAGGACGGAGGCTCACACACACAAATATCCAGAGGGTGAGGAAGAAGGAAAGTGGACAAGACGGCCCCAGATGGGCGCAAGAGCAAGAAATTCGACAAAGAGGGAGGAGAAGGCAGGGCAGCAGAAGAGGAGGAAAGTCAGGTGGGAAAGTGGGGGACTAGAATGAGGAGCCAAGTGTCCTCCAAGAAAAGATCTCAGCTATCCATGTGGATCCGGAGGCCTTGATTCGAGGAGGAGAAGGTACACGGCGGGTGGAAGGCTTCAGCAATGCACTCCTCCCAACGGACCCCCAAACGCCCCAGCCAGGGAGGCCGGGGAGAGGGTTGGGGTGGGGGTGCCGTGATGGAGGAGGCGTGAGCAGTGGTGAGGCGAGCCAGGTGAAAGGCAGAAACAGGCCAAGGACCAGTCCTGAAGTTTTACCTCCTAGCAGCAGGGGGCTGCAGGGAGTGGGGAAGCCCAAAGCTGAGTGCTCAGGCAGAGCAGGGCCCAGGGGAGAGCCGAAGCAGGTTCAGGCTTCATGGTGCGGGCCAGAGGCAGTCCTGCCCATAACCTGCCTCTCAGGACTCCAGAAAAAGACCTGCAGGGAGAAGGGAGGGAGGCAGACAGAAGAGAAAGATTAGGGCAGTGTCAGGAAAACATTGCACCGTATTTCACAAATATTGATGAATTGCTGACTAGGAGTCAGGCTACTCTAGTGATTCCCATAGTACCTGGTGCTTTATTTTTTTTTTTTAATTTTATTTATTTATTTGACAGAGAGAGACACAGCGAGAGAGGGAACACAAGCAGGGGGAGTGGGAAAGGGAGAAGCAGCCTTCCCACAGAGCAGGGAGCCCGATGCGGGGCTCGATCCCAGGATCCTGGGATCATGACCTGAGCCGAAGGCAGACGCTTAACGACTGAGCCACCCAGGCGCCCCAACCTGGTGCTTTAGATAGGAAAGAGGGCCCAGGTTCTTCCAGAGCTGTCGCAGGACCGTGAGCTCAGTGCCTAATGATGCACGTGGTTTTCCCATATGCAAAAATAGTGTAAAACTCCCAAAGCCATATCAGCACATTTTTACAGTATCCATATCACAGGGTCACATCGCTAAAATTTACTTTTAAGGTAAGTCCTAACATTTTATACACTCAAATACACACACATAATTTTAACTATTTACCTATTAAAAGGCATGAAATGACACTGATTTCTTTTTAGATTTTTCTTTTTCAATTTGACAATCCAATGCCTGGGTGTAGGCGGCCTATGACAGATACCCACCTTTAAGTTTTTGAAAGAAATATTTATAAAAATCAGCAGAAATAAATTAGAAAGTGAGTAGTGAGCAAAACAACTCTCATCTCTTAATACATGTTGGTGAAAAGTTCTTATAGGAAAAAAAAAATGTGTTTTGAGACTTAAAGAAAAGCTATGCCTGAATCCTAGTTCTCTTATGTGCAACTTTGAGCCAACTTCTTAACCTATTTGAGCTTCTATTCCCTCCTTGGTAAAGCAGAGGAAAATAGTTTCTTTCTAAGGTTGGAGAGAGGATACAATGAGCTCGTGTATGGGAAGATCCTAGCATGAAGTTACATACATAGTAGGTGATCAGTAAATACTACATTCTTTACTTTCTTATTTCTGGATTGAAAGGGATGGGAAGAAGAGTGCTTGTGTGTCTGTGCATGCGTGAGTGTGTGGATGTCTGTGGAGGAGGGGCAGGATATAAAACCAAAGTACTTTTTTAACAACTACAGAAACTGCAGAATGAACAACAAATGAGGAATAGCACAAACCTAGAGCATATTACATATATTTTATACTGGTTGGAAATGCACCAATACCTAGCTGAGTGGGTGATCTAGATGTTGACTCTAGCAGACTCTGGCCCACCTGGCCAAAAGGAGACTTCTTTGTTCAAATAAGAGCAATGAGTATAATTTCCGAGAGCTGCACAGATTGCTGCTTATTAATTGACACATTTGATAATTCACCATAGTCTCTATTAGACCATTACTGTCCACTATTTTTATGATGACTGCATTAGCAAAGCTAGCTATTGCCCCTGCTTTGAAGAGGAAAATGTTCCTTAACCAGGAACAAACATCTATTCCCACTGAACAAACAAACCAAATCAATAAGAGGTTGATTAAATCCAGCGTAAGGAAAACCTTTCTTCTAGAAAAGGTTTTATCCAAGCAGTGTTTCCCAAACTGTGGCATGGGTCACAGACACAGCAGTTTGCAAGTGCCAAATCATGTGGGCTTTGTCAGAACCAACTGTTAAAACTCCAGAAATTTTTGGTTAAGGTCACTTTGGTAGCATGAAATGAACTATGCTAGGAGTATTTACACCAAGGAAATAGTCAAATACCACAAATCTGAGTCTTTGAGAAAGTGAGATTTAAGGAAAGCCTTGAAATCTTAAGAGTGAGGGAATTAGCCATGGGAAGAATGTTCCGGAAGTAACAGCACAAAGGCCTTGAGACTGGGGCAGGCTGGTAGGCGTGAAGAACAGCAAGCAGGCTGGTGCCGTTGGAGTGAGCAGAAGACATGAAGCCAGAGGTGGGTTATCAGGAGGCCAGGTGAGGAGACATGACCCAGTCTCTGTGAACGTGATCATCGTATGAGGTGAGGTATGCCAACCAACCAAGGCAAAAGGCAACATCCCCGGGGGAGAGGAGACCCTGCTCTGAAGAAAGGACTCCTTCTGCTTTCAACAACTACCACATCCACGCATTTCCTTAAATCAAATGGTTGAAACGGGACACTTCCAGGGAATGTGCTCAGAGCACAGCTGCTTCTCTGTCCCCTCCCCCCACCATGCATTTGATTTAGAGAAGTGGGGGGGGGGGCAAGAAAAGGGGGAGCAAGGCAAGTGTGAGCAGAAGGAATAAGCCTCTTACGGTGGGGGGGTACTCCAATCCTGGAATTATTAATGAGCCAAGAATATAAAAATCACATGGCCATAATGGAGCCCAGGATGTGTAAGCCCAAGAGGCTGGGGACAATTTTCTCAGTGACACTTCCCTGGCTGCTCCAGCTCTTGAGGGGGCTTCCCTCTCCACTCCCTGTCCTGCCAGTTTAGACCAAGGAGTCTACTGACCGACAGGCAAGGCCCAGGCTCAGATGGCCAAAGCCAAGGGGGCCTTCTGTGCGAGGACAAGACATAAAGATGGAGGGCCCAATATTACAGACGAGCAGGAACATGGGAAATGCTTGAAACTTCCAGACTGGTCTATACTATCTATCAACTTACCTCTGAGCCTCTGAAAGTCACTTATTTGTCTGTATAAATTAAATGACTTGCTCAACTGAATATGCTTATTGAGCTCTGATTCATTCCAGACACTGCTCTATGAAAGCAGAGTAAGAAACCATTTTTGCCCTCAAGGACATCAAAAAATAGTGGGGTCAAGTATGCTGCAGAGACACAAAGCACATTGACGAAGAGCCTAGGCTCTAGAAGCTTGACGGGGAGCTCCCCGTGGGAGCTTCACCATGGTGCCTGCCACGGCGCCTTGGCATGGAGTGGGAGCTGAGGAAATGTGTAGAGAATGAAAGAAAACAGAAGCTGAAGAACATCCCCGTGGATCATCTGACTTCTGTTCTGTGCAGTGGCCTCCACACCACCCCGCTGTACACAATGACAGCAATCCTGAGCCCCCACACTTCTCTGGATGCCAACCTCAGATGACCCAAAAAGGCAAAGCTGTACAAGCCTAGCGATCTGAGGAAACCTATGAATGAAGAACTAAGCATCCCAGGAACACTCCCCTCCAGGGAGGATCATGGGAATTTTCCCAGCCTGTTCTGGGGTGTCGGCTCCATCCTGCCTGCTGAGTCTCTCACATCAGATTCAATGTCTTTCCCTCCAGCCCAGACCAGTGCTGGAGATACCAATGTTCTCCTGCACGGAGGGCGATCAAAAAGGCTGGCTGAGGAAAACCAAGTTTTCTTTCCTGCAGGTGCCAGGCAGAATCTGATTTCAGGACTGGTAACATCAGAATTGGGTTTATCTAGACTTGACACCCTATGGTCTGACCTTCCAATGCTTTCTTGGATTGTGGACATTCCCATGGCCTCCTAGAAACTGCCAATATGGCCAAAAGCTAAAGATGACCTTACACTGAATAGCACAGGCCTCAAACCAACTGCCCCAGCATTTATACTCCAGCCTTCTCTAGCCTTCTAGCAGAGCTACCCAAGGCTCAAGAAATGGGAAAATGGGAGCAGAGAGCCCTCTCCACCCAGCCAGCCAGCTTCCACCCTCTCTTGAGCCATAGGATGGCCCAGGCAGCTGTAGGTGGAAGGGGGGTTTGCCCCAGAGCCTGCACGGAGCGCAAACACTCATCTGTTATGTGGGAATCTAGCAGGAAAGTGAGTGACATTATCTAATTGCCAGCTAATTTACATAATTATCAAATGGCACACTTTTTATGTGGGGTTAACATCTTTGCAAATGTCTCACAATCCGGCTGCTTAGGAAGCAGGGGGGCCCCTCTCGCAACTCTGACATGCAGTCTATTTGCCATAGGCCTGGCTTGCAAGAGCTGGCTGCCATTTGCCCTTCCACCTGCTCTCTCCAGTCCCTCCACTCTCTTGAGACAGACTCAGGAGAAAGTGGGGCCTGTGTCTAGAACCAGGATGGGTATGTGAAGGCATGATGACTACTGTCTCCATGCCCAGCCCTTGCTGGGATGGCACAGTCCCCACATTGTGCTTGCCATTTTTCCCTTTAGAAATCCTCATTAGCTTCCCTCTTATTCCCTTCCCCAGAACCAGAAAATCCGTATAATGGCTCTCTGTTAGTTTTACTCGCCTCCCCCTTTACCACACCCCTCACTCCACTTTGAAGCTAAAATGATTTTCACCACCAATCTGAGTCCTGGTCATTCAAGTGGGGTTTATCCCAATCCCAGATCCTACAACCCAATGTAGCCAATTAGGACATTCCAATCTCCTGTCACAGTGATTAGTTTAGGGATCAGCCTGTCACCCAAGCAGAGTCAAATTAGAGTTAACCCTGGGACTTCTGCTGGAATTATTGAGAGAAAGGTCCTCTCTTCTCACCTTGCTGTCAAACTATTAGAATAAGGCCCACAGTTGATGAGAGAAACCAAAATGACCTTGTCTAAGAAAAAAGACAACAAAGGAAAAAGCAGAGCCAAGAGATGGCTAAAGACAGATTTCTAGTGATGTTTTAGCACCTAGATGCAAAAAGGCTTGAAGTCCAGCATCCAGTAGATCCTGGGGTTTCCGTTATATGAACCACACTTTTTTTTGTATTTTTTTTGCTTAAGCTAGTTTGAATTGGGCTACTAGACCTTGAAACATACTGTCATTAACATAGTGACAAGAACTTTCATTTCATATGGCCACCCATACTTGTCAGGACTCCCTGTGATCTGAGACACATGTCAGATGGCTCACCCCGACCACCAACGCTCCACACGCCCTCTTGTCCATGTCTTTGGGCGAAGGCATAGGATGTGGGCATGCCCTACCCCTAGGTGCTTTGGAGGGGAATGCAGGCTTGCTCTTGTACCACAGCCTCAGAGAATCACTAAGATTAAGTCAACTGTGCCCTGCCTGA